GCAAAGGCCATATAATGTTAGTTACTGCCATCAAGTAACGCCTGTATTATGTTAAATTAAGCTTTCCAAAACATCTGTTGTGTATTCTGGTTGATTATCCTGTTGCACACACATGTATTGTATACATAAATTTTAATCAATGAGGTTATGTCTCTCGGTAAAATAGACTAGGATGAGCCCAGTAAGGATACTGCAGATGTAGATCTGTTTTTCTCAAAGTACTAACTAGATGGACAGATTCAAACTTCTCGCCTTTCTACATGAAAACCGGCTTGTAGATCATATTTATGTAAAGGGAATAAAACCTTAACAACTAAATTGAAAAGAAATTTCAAAATCATAACATAGTGTGAACAGACATTCTGTAAACTAAAATCAGAATTGCGATAATCTTAGTGAAGGCCACTAGTGTAAAACATCAACAAGCTATTGTCATACTCTTTATGAGGAAAGCTTAATGGGGCTGAGCTGGGCTCGCCCGGTAACTTGCAAGGATGGCTGGCTTTGCGGAGAGCTCAACACATTAATGAAAGGCAACAAATGACCTGACATCCAAGCTGGCCTGGGTAGCTGCGATACCGAGATAAAAGTCTGCTCTTTATTGTTCATCTTCAATTAGATGCTTGAGATCTACTTACCTTTTTCTCCCTTTCTCTCCTCATGTGTTCTTTTACTTCAGTAAAATCTGAACGTCCGTGAAAGTTTGAATTGTTTCCTGACTTTTTTAATTTACTTTTTGATAAAATTTAATCTGGCTAAACAAATTCAAACTCTTGACGTGGCCCATATCTTGAAAAATGATTAACCTTAGATAATGCCACCACCGGCAAAGATTCTGCACGTGTTCGCGCCCGCCGAGCAAGAGGCATCGCGCGTTTTGCTACCATGAAGAAAACGTCAGTTATCTTACATCACGTCAACGTGCGTAGGAAAGTGAGGCACCAACATAGATCGTCCCGATAAAAGGGGCGAGTTTTCTTCTAAAGATCACAGTATTACAAATTTTACGCCAGCTCAGTAAGCAACGTTTTGTCCTTGTACTGATCTGCAATGCAATATATTATTTCTTAAGTTTGGCCTTTTAATTTGCCTCATTTTGCAGAGATACCGATTATAACTCATCCTGAATCAGGCAAGGCAACTTACCGTGAAAGCGAGGCTGTTAGTGTCAGCTGTAAAACCTCTGGTAAACCAGTCCCATATGTCAGCTGGATTCATAATGGAAGAGTGAAGAATTCTGGCTCTAAAACAGCTACACTAAATTTTAGCTCAATCAGCAAAGCAGATGCAGGATCGTATACATGCAAAGCGAACAACTCCGCTGGGATTACAGAAAAGCAACTAATACTGCTAGTAAACTGTAAGTATCATATGACACACTCATTCGTCTAGTTTATCATTTGATTACGATAAAGTTATAATTTCTATTCTGCCAAGAAATCATCAGCTTAATATTTAACAACTATTCTTTGAGATCGAGGTGAATAGTGGCGAATATTTCGCGACGAAGTAGATCTATCTTAGGCCGATTGAAAATAATAATTGTTTTAAGCATATACACACGAGTTGATCTCAACAGAATCAGAAAGGGAATCATTAGCGTTTGTTTGACTGGTTAATTCAATGAGTGAATATGCTAGCCGTAAACAAGAAGAGATACGCAAAAGTTAGACTTTTTACAGTATTGTCAATACGGCAAAACAGAGATTCTATCCTTCCATCCTTTTGAAAGCTATCGCATTAGCGGGTTAAAAGGAATCGTCGAAAGTTTCAATTAGTACCTCATCTGAGAAGAAATATAGAAACTTATGATTCTGTCAACACACCAAAAAGTAAGGTTTTTCTGTTGCTTCTTGCAAAGGATGACAATGGCGGCTCCGATGGAGGTGAGTGTTGTTTTTCTGTCGCATTGTTTTGTCCCGTTTACTTGCTGTCTTACACAATTTTTGAAAATATTTGGTTTCATTTCTTTCTTTTTTTTTATACATAAGTTAACTTGGATTTCTAGGGGAAAAAAGTCTTGTTAGGAAATCCTGATCTGAGTTCACAATCGGGTTTCGTTCTCCTCTATAGTTGACTTTAAACATGGCTTCGACCGTTAAAAAATAAATCACGCTGTTAACTCTTTGAAGTATTTTCTTACCTTCAAAACCATAACGCTAGGATTTTCTTTTATGTTCAAATAGTTCTTACTCTAAAACTTTGGCAAAACACCCCGGCAAAAAACCGAGATTACGACAGCGATTTTGTTTTGCTTTATATTCACCACGTCATAGTCCGAGAAAGAGAACCAATCAGATTGCTTAAAACGCCAGAAACACTCATTCTGTATATACTAATTCGGGAAATTACTAATGACGGCAGCGCAGGGAGTTAAAGATTACATAGGTCCGCTGAAATTTGGGGATTGACACGTGGGTCAACTGCAATGGAATCGGGTTAAAAAAGTATTATTTGGAAACGTTCGTAATTTTGCGTTTATAGGTTATTGTTGTGCGATTCGAAATAGTTTGAATTCATTCTTTGACTCAGTTTATCGTTAATCCCTAGTGGGGGCAATGTGCGCGACTCGGAAAAACGTTTTCAGTATTAAAAAAAATAAAGAAAAATTAGATGAAATAAATATATTTAATTTGCTCATTCACACATCTCAATTAAATGACTCATTTCAGTCGAAATAGGAAGAAAAGTTATCAAATCTGAAATCAGAAACTTTCGAAAAACTATTTTGTTTGTCTCCGTGAAGAAATCGGTAGTTGATAGCAAATTAGGGATTCCAGAACTCCTGATCAGTATACCGGGTTATATCAGTCACTTCTAGTGTACATGTATTAATGACTTTATTGACACTCAGACCCTGCTATCTGCTATATTACTTGTGTGTTTCCCGTTTCCTCTCTTCTATATTTCCTCTTAAATTTATAAAATTTGATCTAATTGAAACAGTATTATGATAAATTCTACTACAGTGGAACCTACAATCAAAGACAAAAGTAGTTGGGAAGGCTGTACAACTTAACAGTAGTCCATTTTAATCCTGAAAAAAGAGAGTTTTCTCTTTTGCTAAATATCCCCCGTCCCCCCTGTTCAATGTTGGGATATAACAGAACAATTACGCGCACAAACATTAACGTTTTGATCAACATTGGGCCAGGGGCGGGGGGAGGAAGGAAAAGAAGAGGTAAAAAAGGCAACCTTCCCAACACTTTTGACGATGATTGTACGTTCAGGGGATACCCTTGGGAGCAAGGCAAGTGTCCCCTGAATAGAGGTTTCCCCGGAATGGATGCTTTGCTAAAATACATATATTTTTATAGTGCCTGTCATGGGAATATGCTGCAGTCATTATTTAAAGCGGCCAGATAATAATTAAAAAATCATGATTTAATTTATAATATCTCCGCGATGTTGTGTGTTGAATTCCCACAAGTTTAATACATTGATTTGAGCGAAATATTGTTCATATTTTAAAAGTTGTAGCCAATTTTACTGGTGAACAGTGGAACTTATCAACCTTTTTTTGTGGTCAGTAATTTTTTGAGTAACAAGCGGTCCCCTGAAAGAAGGTTAAAATCGGGTTTCGGGACCCTGAGAAAGAGCGTCCTTTTCCCCTAAACAGAGGTGTCCCTTCTTAAGCAAACGCAAAGTTTATGTCTCAACTTTCCTTCGAGACCAAGTTTTGTGTCCACTGAATAGAGGTGTTCTAAAGGAGAGGTTCCACTGTATATCTTGTCCTTCTCCATTTATATCCTCTAACTGTTATCTTTTAAAGCTGCTTTACTAAAACATAAATGGAGAAATAGAATACAAATACAGTATAGTACACATACATTCACATTCGAGACAGTTATGCAAACCTTCGACTTCGTCTCGGGTTTGCATAACTGTCTCGAATTCCCCCAAAATCTCTCGTGTTTATATCAGGCTATGCAAACACGGAAAACGTTTTCTATTGGTTAAATAACAAATCAGCCATTTGCCGTGGTGCCAGCCTTGCATTCAGTTTTGTTTCATTTTTAACATAGGTTTTTCTCGCTTACAATGTTAGCTTAAGCGAAAAAAAAAAATGACACAGCATGTTTCGGAAGATTTTCCAAGTTTCAGCTGATGAGGGAATGGGTATAAATAAAGTAAATGTGTGGAGTTTTCAACTCAAAAACGTTTCCAAATTTGTGATTGCGTGATTAGTGCGCGAAAAGCAAAACATCTTGACGCCACAACCATGTTTACATACTCTCATGCAAACACGCCTATCGGCCAATCAGAGCGCGCATACCATCTTAGTTATTTTATGAAGGCCAATAATTAGCCTTCCTCAGGGCCAGAGCTTTACGGACAGAAAATATTTTTTAACGGCCCTTAAAAAATATTTTCTCTCGGTATAGCTCTGGCCAAGAGGAAGGCTAATTTTGTTAGCCATATATTAGTGGCCTATAATAAATCAGCTCTTTGCTGTAGTGCCAGCGTCGCATGCAGTTTTGTTTCATTTTATACACATCAACTGACGTCTGACTACAGCATCTCTTTAATTAGAGATCCGGCAAGAGAAACTTGTCAGTATTATTTGCGCGTTGCGTGGATCTCTGCATTCAAACAGTTTTTCCCAAATTCTTGTTGTTTGACAAATGAAAAAATCTATTGTCTTTAGAGCCTATTACAATTTTTTTAGGGACAATTGTTCTCTTCTGAGCCACATGCGCCTGAGACGGTCCTAAAACATAGAACCTGTTTCTTTCCGTTATATATGTTATATAAGAAACTAATTATATTATAAAGGGAAAAATGTCAATATTAACTCAAATCACGATAATTAAGACATGGTGTGGCTATTGACTTCCGCTAAAGACGTTATTGCAGTTCTATTGATGACCTTTTTGCTTCAGCTGAAAGTTGATTCCAAACTGTCACTTCGTCACTGTCACTTTCGCTTTTTGTGAGTCGGAGTAGGTGTCCTTCGTTTACTGGCGAATAATTTGCAACTGGCTACTCTTCCAACTAACATGAGATGCGTTTTAAATGTTGGTTTGGAAGGTTTACGGATTGTATTCCACTTACTGCTATTTCTTCCGCATGAAGGTATGTATATATATATTACAACTTTTATTTAGGCTATCATCGCTCTACAAGAGTCTGTTAAGGTCGAGTAAAACATACAAATCTATGCTGATTTACGGCTTTCCGTCCAACGCGAACAATGTACACGACAACCGTTTTAAGACTTATTAACTTAGCAGAGTAGTATAGAGATAGCCTAAGTTCTAAGACTCATTATGCCTTTTACAACCTCGCTAAATTAAGATGGCGTGCGAAAGAAACATGAGTGTATTCGGGGAATGGTAGGTCAGTCTTATAAATAACTTGTAAATACCCAGTCACCCCTACTTGCTCTATTCCAAACGTTCCATACTTAATTCGTTTCATCATAAAACGAACGGCCGTTGATTATGGGCCAAAATTCTGTTGATCGACAAAATTGCAGAAAAAAATATTGTTCTCTAGTGAACAGCCTCGAAATCATAAGTTTGTATGTTTTTGCACCATTAGCAGACTCATGTGGACATTAAACCGGACGTATTCCATCCTGTCATCTAATCGGATAAATTGGACGACCTTGCTTGCGAGACTCGAAGTAAACAAGGAAATACGGCGACTGTGGTTAGATGAAAAGTCGGTCACTTAACTCATAGTTAATGAATACTTTTCTTTTAAAGTTTTTAAAATATTCAACAATGAGCCCCTGCATAAAAAAATTACAGTTACATGTTATTCGGATAATAAATTCGTTCTATACTATCTGAGACTAGCATAAGCCGTTACGCAATTTTTGAAATATGTAAAAGAAAAGACCATGCATTCCCTACCCCATAATGTAGAATAAGCACAATTGTGCACAGACACGGATCTTATACGCTTTTAAATTACCCCTTCTAATCATTTTAATAATAACCAAAAATGCAGGAGGTCAGAATAATAAGAGCAAGAATTACAAATTTGTCTTGCATTGGCAGTTGTTCTTTCAGTATGATGACATCTAATTTTTAACCTTTCTTGCAGTAAATCAAAGTTTCACGTCCTCATATAACGGAAATGTTGTTAGAGGAACAGCTGGTTGTTCTGTGAACTTTACTTGGGCCTTCTCATCATCGTTTACCAGGGTTGAGTGGGGATTATCAGCCACTCCTTATGCTTTTGATACTCCGCCTGGGTTGCTAGTGTCTTTTTTTAAAGGCAGCCCACTTCCAGTTAAACCGCCAGCAGCATATACAGGAAGAGTGTCAGGCAGGCAAAGCGGAAGTCAAGTTATCTTTACTCTTAGAAATATTAGCAAGCTTGATGGAAGGTTGTATGGCTGCTTGATTACCGACACAACAGATCCAGATGACAAATCAAGCTTTGATCACGTCACTCTTGAAGTGGAAGGTGCGCACATCCTGAGTTATGCTCGGAGTCACTAGAACTAGACTTTTTCGTATTAAAATTCCTTTAGGTTTTAAAGCTGAAAACTGAGCCACAATTTTTCACATTATAACAATGAACGATTGTTTTTGGCAAATGAGCTTTTACTACAATTGATTGGGGGATTAGACGCCAATGCTGTTGATTTTGATACTCCACCTCGATCTCGCTGACTATTTATAGCTAAAAGTGATGAAAAGATTGTGGTTGCAGGATTAGCGATAAAAATAATCCATTTGATAACCCAAGCTTTGTCTCCCTCGCCTTTGTTGTCAAAAGTCAGTGCATTCTTCCGGCGTAGAGTTTTCAAAACCAAATAAAAATCTCTAAGCCAAGCCCTTTTTAAAATATCTACTTTCCCATATATGGTTATCATTCAAAAAAAAAATTTCACTAAGTTATGTTTAACCGGCAAAACATGTACGCTACCAGGAAAAATCAGGTTCGTGGTGTCCGATCTGTCCAGAGAGGATTTAGAAGCGCTTTAATAAACGATATCTTGATAAATTCAGTAGCTGTATATGTCAAAATGTTGCGGATCGCATAGGTGATGCGTGAAGGAATCACATTTCGAAATATTAGAGCACAACGAAATCAAGAACCATGTTTACGGCAAACAGCAAACGTCAGATTCAATTTGACAATTTCTCGACATAGGAATTTATTTACTTACTTAAGCTGGGAATTATCCCGAGCTGTCCTAATAAAATCTTTTCACTCGAGCTGATTGAGCATTGCATCTCTCATCTCTTTGGTATTGTCCAGTCCAGGCAGCCTTGATAGGAACAACAATTTAATAATAATAATAATAATAATAATAATTTTATTTATATAGCGCTAAAATGCAATAATTGTCCAAAGCGCTACCTAATTACAAAATAAAATATAAAAAATATAAAATATAAAATATCTACAATATACAATATAATTCAAATATAGCCTAAGTTATCTACTATATAAATCAAAAACATCTCAAAACAAAAGGAATCTCATAACCTATATGCTAACTTAAATAAAAAAGTTTTAAGGGATTGCTTAAAAGTTGCCACTGAAGCACATTTCCTAATCTCTAGAGGTAAATCGTTCCACAATTTAGGTCCTGCAATAGAGAAAGCTCTGTCTCCATATGTTTTCAATCTGCTTCTTGGAACCACTAAGTATTCTTTACATGAAGAACGCAATGACCTAGAGTATGTTTTAAAATTCAAAAGGTCAGAAATATAAGAAGGTGCAAGGCCATGAAGGGCCTTGTATACCAATAAAAGGACTTTAAAAGTTATTCTAAACTCAACTGGTAACCAGTGAAGATTAATTAAAATAGGAGTTATATGAACATGCCTCGGTGTCAATGTGACAACACGAGCTGCAGCATTCTGAACTGCCTGTAGTCTAGCTAACAGATACTTAGGAAGGCCATGTAATAAGGAATTACAGTGATCAATTTTCGAACTAATAAATGCATGGACTAAGATTTTACATGTATCTTGGCTTAAGTACTTGCGGATTTTAGCAATATTTCTCAAATGATAGAATGATGATTTACAAATGTTCTTAATGTGCTGCTCAAAACTAAATATGCTATCAAACTGAACCCCTAAATTACGAACAGAGTCACGAGGTGCAATGCACTCAGAACCAACAGTAATGTGACCGATGTCAGGCATAGGATGGAATCTGGAACTGATGACTACAAGGTCCGTTTTGTCCTGGTTTAGTTTAAGATAGTTTCTTATCATCCATTCATCAATGTCCCTCACACAGCATTCCACTCTCAACTTCACTTGTTGGATGTCATTCAAGCTGGTAGATTTAAAGGTAATATATAATTGGGTGTCGTCAGCATATAGATGGTATGATAGTCCATGATCATTTATTATGTCCGCAATAGGTGATGTGTATAACAAATACAACAAAGGGCCCAGAACTGATCCCTGAGGGACACCACACTTCAATGCACGTTGTGAAGAATGACTATTCCCAACTTTAACAAACAGCTTACGTGAAGACAGGTATGATTTTAGCCACTTAAGCACAGTTCCTTGAAAACCAAAACAAGTAGACAGCCTTGTCACTAGAAGAGTATGGTCCACCGTATCAAACGCCGCCGACAGATCCAAAAGTACCAGTATGACCGACTCATTACGATCTAAAGCACAAAGAATGTCATTTTGAACCCTCAGTAGAGCCGTTTCAGTGGAGTGAAATGACTTGTATGCGGATTGAAACGTTTCCGAAAGACCATTAGATGTAATATAGTCTGTAAGCTGGACACATACCGCTTTTTCCACAAGCTTGGACACAAACTTCAAATTAGAAATAGGTCGAAAACTTTCATATTTAGTGAAATCAGCATTATGTTTCTTTAAAGTCGGTGTCACAGCTGCAATCTTCAAGACATCAGGCATAACTCCAGTAGATAAAGATGTATTCACTATGTTAGTCAACACAGGAGTTAGTAAATTGAAACATTCCTTCATTACCACTGCAGGCAGAGGATCAAGTACACAGGATTTATTAATAGATCTCAATGCAAGTCCCTTGATGTCTTCGTAACTGACATTAATAAAGTCTGAAAACACAGAGTTACATTCCATGTAGTTACCAAGAGTCACTTCATTGCAATCATTACCTTGCGCAGAATTCTTCTCTATTAGTGTGGCATGGATACGATCAATCTTGTCAATGAAATAATCAGCGAAAGAATTAGCTAGTGCATCACTACAAGAAGATGGATACCGTGCAGTTGATTGCTTTTGTAGTAGTTTTGATACTGTATTAAACAAAACCCGTTGATCAGTTGAGTTTTCAGTAATGATGGTAGTGTAGTAAGAGGATTTCAACGACTTGATCAAATTATTCACAACGCAGCACTGACGAGTATATTCTTGTCGGTCAGCCTGCAGCCTGGTTCTTCGCCATTTTCTTTCAAGGCGTCGTCGCTTACGCTTCTCTACAGATACCTCATTAGTGTACCACGGAGCAGCAGGCCTAATAGTAACAACTCGGCGCTTGACAGGAGCATGCTTGTCCATTATTGATCTTAATAAGGTGTCATACTGTTGAACTAGATGATCGAGATCACTGGATGGGTCGATGACGAGAGGGCAGTCAGCAACATCACTAAGAAACGACTCCATGTCAAGAGACCGAAGCTTCCGATAGAAGATAACTTCCTTTCTAAACTGGGGCTTTCTTATGGAGACATCACACATTACCGCCAAATGATCAGAGATGTTAGGATCATAGACTTTGATATTATTGAGCATGTTATCATCAGACTTATTTATAAGTAAGTCAAGAGTATGGCCATTGCGATGAGTCCCAGCACAGACACGTTGTTTAAGGTCAAAAGATTCCAAGATGTCAGTAAAACGTTTTGGCACAATTTCCAACATAGGAAATGAGCTGATAAAAACTGTGCAAACTGATTCTTATGGATGAATCAGGCGTAAAACTACTATTTTTGGTTGAAATAATACCAGCAGTAAACGACAGGCAAAGGGAGAATTTGGTCACCTGGTACAAATTTCCGTTTGGCTAAAACTTGATTCTGAATCTCTCTATTTAAAACGGGAGATACTTCGCGTTGCGATACATTACATTTGTTTCTTTTTTTACTGCCTGTTAGGTGACATGTAGATTACTAGAAAGTAATACTCCAGTACATGCTCTTATACAATTACCCTCACATTTGTAGAGAGGCCAATAATCATCTCTCCAAATTCCGTCGAATTAAGTTACAATGAAAGTGAGGCTGTTAATATCAGGTGTGAGGCCATAGCCAAACCAGAACCAGACGTGAGATGGATCCATCATGGACAAGTGAAGAGTTATGGTAATAAAACAGCTGAGTTAACTTTTAAGACAATCACCTAATCAGATGCAGGAGTGTATACATGCAGAGCGAACAATTCTGCAGGAACTGCAGAAAAGAAATTAAGACTAGCAATAAAATGTAAGTATATACATTGTAGTACAACTCATCATTTCTTATTCATTCTTGATTTATTATTTATATGTTACAATTATTTTTGTAAAAAAAAAAAAATCAACGTTAGTTGAGGACTGTTTAACCACTCTGATATTACAACCTGAAAATATAATGTTGTAGAAATTGTTTACTCCTTTCATAGCCTCTACAAGTTAATTGTGGAATGCAATAAATGAGGCAATGCAAATACTAAAGTATTTTGTCAGTCACAGATATGGAGAAAACGCTAGGAAAACTTGACTCCCTAAATGCTGCATGAAACTAGTATATACAGTTTCTCAAACCTAAATGTAAACTGTATATTATGTTGCATATAATTACTGTCATTACAGAGATATGTCATTGCCCCAACCCCGACGGAATCTATCTCGCTGTGTTTTTTTTTTCCCTGGCCATGGTTATTGGTTTCCTGCAGTAGAGAGCCGATGGCCCGGTACTCAATCTATTGAAGTTTAGGGCGAAAAACATGCTTCCAAAAAATGAAAAATAATAAATAGATAAAAATAATAACTAACGAGCCGTCTAACTCAGTAATGCAGAGAGACCTCTACGAAGGATAGCGTTGACTAACTAAACGATACCTATGGGAAAAAAAAAACGAGGAAAATCTAACACCCTCCAGTCTCCTTCAGGCCATATATTTGCTGTGCAAAACTGAAAGCTGATTGTCGAGTTACGGCTGTATCAGTGGAAATATCCGCTTCTTTTAAAATTGCTTGGTTTTTCACGCTTACTAAAAAGGGGTTTGCTACAGAATATACCAAACTCGACATTATGCGATTTTTAAACTCACTTAGAACACAGCCTACAGAATTTGGTTTCTGCCTCGTTATGTTGCTAATTCCTCTTTTAGGTAAGTGAACAAGGGCGAGTTACATTGATCTTACA